TACATTACTAGTATTTCAAATATCACAGATTTCAGTGGCACTTCCACATTAAGATAAACCAGGAAGAAAGAGTAGGGAGTTCACTTCTGAGGGATTAGCTACTGAAGTCCTTAGGAACAGCAGAACATTGTTTGATAGAGTGCCAGAAGATGAGCCCCTCAGGCTTGAAAGCACTCCAAGTACGACCTTAGTGCAGTGGATGGAACTAAGCATTCAGGCCTTTCATTTGCTGATGCGGCACGACTCAAAATGAGAAGCTGCTGCAAGCATACATTAGTCATCAGAACATGGAATGTATAAAATCAACCATGGGCTCAAGTGTAACAACAATTCCGAGGATGGTGCGGAACCACACAGTGCTTCATTCGTTGTTTTTGGGGTGGCTATGGGTCAGAACCAACAGCACCTAATAGCAGCAATCAATTACACAGTAACACTTGCAAACACTGGAAACTGTGTAAGGCAGGAACCTGCCGGACAAGAAAAACGCAATTATTTACCACACCTAAACAGCAAGAGAAGAGCGGTAAGACCAAACTATGTCAAAGGTGGGAGACTTGTGAGACTCCGAGAAGCTAGGCAGTCCTGTCAAATTCCAGCTCCCACAAATTTCACTGTATTGCTCTGTATTTATTCCTAAGCTCAGAGTACTGTGGGATTTGGACAGGTGAATAAGTTATGCTTCCTGGGTTCTAGGAGCCTCTAATGTGTTTTCACTAATATATCAACACTTCCACCAAATGCAAAATATAACATTTATAACATATTACATTTCTAGCCAAAACACCCAATAAAGCTGTTTTTATTTCTAGGCTATTAAAAAAAAGACATCGCCCTTTTAGGTACGGGGGCGGGGGGAAGGAAAAAAAATGGTCAGTTTTCTTTATCAAGCAATTATTTACTAATAGAACTAATATAGTATTTCTAATTAATATAAAAGGGAGTTTCAAAGAGTTCATTTTCATTCCCCCACCACCACCAATTGCACGAAGCCCTGCTTTGTTATGCACATTGCATTAAGGAGTGGCTAATCAATTGCTGACATTTGAACTTTTTATGAATGGATATCTAATCACACAGATAAAGATATTACAGCTCGTTGTAGACAAAGTGCTTCATTGGCATTCTTCTAACTGATGATCACAAGGTATGGCACGGGGTCACGTGAGTTTAAGGACTTGATCTTGTTGGGAAAATCAATGAATGGCTATAAGAATGAAGGTAAGAACTACAAGCACAATGAACATATTGACAATGCTTATGCTTACAATTAAATCTCTTTTTCTTTATAGGTTATTTATCATTTTATTAATTGTTGTCAGCATTGTATGGGTCCCATTTGTGCAGATATCTCAAAACGGACAACTGTTTCATTACATAGAATCCATTTCTAGCTACCTGGGGCCTCCAATTGCAGCTGTCTTCCTACTGGCCATCTTCTGTAAAAGAGTCAATGAACAGGTAACTGAATCCTGGGGAATACATTCTCTGAAGAAATGGGGAAAATGGTTTGTTTTTTCTGGGATAGCAAAAGGCATCCTTTTCACCCTGTCTATCTCAGTATTGGCTTCAGGCAGCCACAGTTCCTGATTGCCTTTCATGTGTATCACTATCTAGTGCATAACCACTGTTGTGCACTATATAGACCGTTGACCTTGCTACAAAATATGGTGTACATATATGGCACAGTGCTGCACAACACACATTTTGAAGTCAGATGGTCAGGGTCTGTCATTGCCCAGTCCTGTGCCATTGTCACAATTGTTCCTGTGCCCGAGCCCGTTGTAGCCACGATGTCGGTCCTTCTGGACGAGGGTCTTCCTCTCCTTCGCGGCTCCTCTACTTGACCAAACATGATGTCCTTCTCCAGGGACTGGTCTCTCCTGACAACATGTCCAAAGCATGGAAGACAAAGCCTTACCATCCTTGTCTCCAAGGAGCATCTGGCCAGACTTCTTTCAAGATGGATTATTTCTGCCTTTTCACAATCTATCGTGTTTGCAATATTCTTTCTCCAGCACCACAATTCAAGTGCACGCCTAATAGAATTGTGATCCCTTACCTCTGTGTCTCAGTTTCCTGATCTGTAACGTGAAGATAATAGTACTTATTTTATGGGATGTTGTGAGGATTATTTGAGATACACAATTGATGTGTGTATGGATTGTGATAAGAGTTGTACGAGCCCCTAATAAAATGATTTTTAAAAAATTTAAAGAAACATACAGGTTGAGAATTTAACAAAATGGAAAAACATATAGTATGTTTATTATTAACCAGAATAAAGCTGAGATACTCATAATTAAAGAGTAATAAAAAA